GCGGCGCGGGGAGCGGTGCGGGTCGGTTCAATAAAATGAAACCTCCTACTACCGGAACGTTGTGCGGCGACAAAAGAAAATAAATTAAAGGAAAGAAGAACCTGTGGCGAGCACACTGTCGGTATCGTGCCGGTCGTTGTTTTCTGAGTCGCTTGCGGACCGTGAAATGAAAAATACCCATAACTTGGAGCACGATCATATTGCCTGTGATTCCCTCCTCGGTGGATGATGGACAAGGTTTATTACCGAGTTTTAGCTCGACCTTTGTCATGATCCATCGTGCCGTCGCTGCTTCGTTTTGTTGTTGATATTAGCCTCATTAAAACTGAATGTATTCGTTGTTGTAGCTGTAGTTTCACTGCCTGCAGCGCTTTTCAACTGCGTGCGCGTTTGGTGTTGCAGAGCGCCCCCGGCCACCGCTCTACGGGTATGACGTGGTTGGCGCGGACGCGACTCAAGCGGACCCCGAAGCCCATGAGCCCGGAGACGGAGCTGCGCCAACGGGGAGCCGCCAGTGCACGTTGTACTTAATCAGGTAATTCTTTTTCTTTTAAAAATATAAAATAAAAAAATACCCATTTTTAGAATGACTAAGAAGCAGAGGGGGAAAAAAGTCAGTTCCGTTCTTCTTGCAAAGGGGAGATTGTCATTCCCCGTGAGGTGCGGGGAAAAAAACGGGAGGAAATGGAAGGGCGAGCACGACACGAAGGACGAAAAAAATGCTGACTAGAGACTTTCCCGGGAGAGCGGCAGCAGCAGGGCTGCAGGGCTGCAGGGCTACGTTCAAGGAAGCTTTGTGTCGGCACAAAAATCTTGCTCTCGTCCTGTTTTTCTTTGGCCCAAGCTTCCTAAATGGGTGGTTGGGCTTTGCTGTGGCCACAATGTGACCACATGTCCCTGTCGAGTGTCGAATGTCCATACCGATGCCCCCACAATGAACGTTTCCTAAGGTGGCGTTGTTTCTCAGAGCAACGCTTCTCAGGCGAGCCGACAAGAGGAAACGCATCACGCATCGCGTCGTCTAGAGGGGCATTACGAAGCCAGGCGGTCACAACAGGGTGAGGGGGGTGGGAGGTGGAAGAACGTTTTCGGGTAGCTCCCGCTCCGCTCCAGCGTCGGGGAACGTCACCTCAG